TATATAATTTATATTGTATATACTTTCTATATAATATAAATTTTGTATCCTGTGCACTCGCTAAATTCATTTATTGATTCTAGTAGCTGTTTTAGAGATTCCTTAGGACTTTCTATGTAAGCCAATATCATCTGACAACAGAGAGTTTTATGTCTTCCTCACTGATCTTTATTCCTTCTTTTGGGCCTTATTCTGATGTCTAATTCTTCCAATAAGTTGTTGAATAGAAGTGGTTAAAATGGACATCCTTGTCTTGTTCTCAATATTAGGAGAAAAGCATTCACTATTTTACCATTACTGTGATGCTAGTCATGCTTTTGTGTTTTTTTTTTTTTTTCAGATACCCTTTATTTGATTAAGGTAGTTACCCTCTATTCCTAGTTTGCCAAAGAGTTTTATCATTAATTGGTTGTTGAATTTTGTCGAAAGTTTTTTCTGTATCTCTTGAAATAATCATTTGGCTTTCTTCTTTCTTCTCTTAATATGATGAATTACATTGACTTTAAAATGTTGAACCAATCTTGCATTCCTGGAAGAAATTCTACTGGTCATGATGCATTATCATTTTTATACATTGCTGTTTTCAACATGCTTATATTTTTGTCAAGTATTTTTGTACTTGGGTTCATGAAGGATATTGGTCTGAAATTTCCTTTTTTGTGGGATTTCTTTGTCAGACTTCAAGGTTTTGTCAACATTTTAAAAGTGAGTTAGGAAATGGTCCCCTTTTCTACTCTCAGAAAGAGTTTGCATAACATTGCTGTTATTTTATTAAATGCTTAATAGGGTTCACTAGGAAACCCTTGAGGTCTAGAATTTCTGTGTGGGAAGTTTTGTGATAACAAATTCAATTTATTTAGTGGATATAGACTCATTCAGATTTTCTGATTCATCTTGTGTCAGTTTGTGTTGGTTGTATTTTTCTAAGAATTTATTTCATCTAACTTGTCAGGCTTGCTGGCAATAGTTCATAATATTTTCTTGTTTTTAACATCCATAGAATGCATAGCAGGAGTCAGCAAACTTTTTCTGTAAAGGGCAGATAATAGATATTTTAGGCTTTGCAAGCCACAGGTGGTCTCTGTCTGCTGCAGTTCTTATGATTTTGTTTTGTTCTCCTCTCCTGTCCTCTCATTTCCCTCCCCTCTCCTCCTCTTCCCCTCTCTCTTTGCTTTTCCCTTTGTATAACAATATAAAAATGAAATATATGTTGTGCAACCATCACCACCATCTGTCTTCAGAACTTTTTTCATCTTTCCAAAGTAAAACTCTGTGTTTATTGGACAACTCCCCATTCTTCTTCTCTCCACCAGCCCCTGGCAGCCACCATTCTTTCTTTCCCCATGAATTTGCCTATTCTAGGTATTGCATATAAATAGAATAATATAGTATTTTTCCTTTTGTGACTGGTTTATTTCACTTTTCAATATGTCTTCAAGGTTTGTGCATGTTGTAGCATGCTAGAATTTGCTTCCTTTTTAAAGGCTGAATAATGTTCTTTTGTAGATTCATACCACATTTTGTTCATCCATTCACACGGGGGTTCTTTTTGAATTGTTGATAGTGTTCTAACATTGATTGTGGTAATGGTTCCACAATCCTGAATGTGCTGAAGCCCTGTGAATTGTACACTTTAAATGGGTGAATTGTATGGTATGTGAATTAAATCTCGATAAAATTATTACCCCCCCAAAAAACAAAACAAAATGATATGTAAAATCTATTCTTAGCTTGGGGCAATACAAAAACAGGCCTTGGGTAGGATTTGGCCTGCTGATGAGTTTGTCAACTTCTGATTTACAGTGATAAGCCCTCTTTCATGCCCAATATTGATAATTTCTTTTCTTGCTCATTTTTTCTTGATCAGTATAACTAGGGATTTTTCAATTTTGTCAATATTTTCCAACAACCAACTTTTAGTCTTTAATTTTCCCTATTGATTTTTACTTTGTTGATAGCTGATTTTATCTTTAATATTTCCTTCCTTGTACTTACTTTGAGTTTACTTAGCTCTTCTTTACCTAGCCTCTTAATTCGAATCCATAGGCCATTGATTTTAGACCTATCTTCTTTTCAAACATAATCATAAAAAGCTGTAAATATCTTTCTAAGCCCAGCTTTAGCTATAGTCCACAAATTTTTATGGGTTGTATTTTTATTATCTGTCAGTTCAAAATACTTTCTACTAAAATTCTTCTTTAATCTATGGACTATTTAAGAATGTGTTTTTTAAATTCCAAATATTTAAGGCTATCTAAGATATCTTATTGATATCTTGTTTATTTATGGTCACAGAATACACTTAGTATAATTTCAATGCATTTAAATTTATTGAAACTTGTTCTGTGGCCCAGCGACCTATTTTGGTGAGTGCTTCATGTACACTTGAAAAAAATGTGTATTCTACAATTGTTGTATAACTATCAATTAGGTCAAGGTGGCTGATAGTATTGTTCAGATTATCTTTGCCTTTGTATGGGGTGGGGGACAGGGGTCTCGCTCTGTTGCCTGGGCTAGAGTGCAGTGGCATCATCATAGCTCATAGCAACCACAAACTCCTGGGCTCAAGCAATTCTCCTGCCGGAGCCTCCCGAGTAGCTGGGACTACAGGCACACACCACCAGGCCCGGCTAATTTTTCTATTTTTTTGTAGAGACAGGGTCTTACTCTTGTTCAGGCTGGTCTCGAACTCCTGGCCTCAAGCGATCCTCCTGCCTAGGCCTCCCAAAGTGCTAGGATTACAGGCGTGAGCCACTCACCCAGCCTATCTTTATCTTTATTGATTTTTTCCTAGTTGTTTCTTAGTTGAGAAGGGTGTTAAAATCTCTAACTTTGTGAAATTATCTATTTCTCCCTTTAGTCCTATCAAATTTTGCTTTGTTTATTTCGGGACTCTTTTATTAAGTGCATATACATTTATGTTGTTTTGTCTTCCTAATACTAATCCTGCCACTAACCTATTTCTCATTATGAAATATCCCTCTTTATCTCTGATGATACTCTATCTTACAGTCTATTTTATCTGCTTTTAATACAGTCATTCCAGCCTTCTTGTGGTAATATATATGTCCGTATATATATGTGTATGGTTTGCATTCACTTGACTTCTAACCATCTGTGTCTTTGTATTTAAAGTGCAGCTGTTATAGATAGCATATAGTTTGTGTTTTATTTTTTTATCCACCCTGATAATATCTGTCTTTTAATTGGAATGTGTAGTTTTTTAACATTAAATGTAATTATTGATATGGGTGGATTTAGGGCTATCATTTTATTTTATTTTCTATCTGTCCCTCTGGTTTTTGTCCCTCTGTTCCTTTTTGACTGTTCTCTTTTGCTTTATTTTAATATTTATTACAATTGCATTTTAATTGTTTACAGACTCTTTAATTTTATCTATTTGCATTGTTTTCTTAATAGTTGCTCTAGAGATCACAATATACATTCTTATATTTTCAGAGTCAATTTACAGTTAATATTGTACTGCTTCATGTAAAATGTAGAAACTTTGAATCATACATGTCCATTTATACCTCCTGTTCTTTGTGCTGTAGTTTTCATATATATTTTACCTAAACAGATCATAAACCCCACAAGATAATGTTATAAACATTGCTTTAAAAAGTCCTATGTTTCTTAAAGAAATTGAGAAAAAATAGCCTTTTATATTTACCTAGATATTCATTCATTTTTGATGCTTTTCATTTCTTTCTGAAGGTCAGAATTCTATTTGATATTATTTCCCTTTGGCCTGAAGAAATTCATTTAGCATTTATTGTAGTGCAGGTCTGATGA